ACTAATAAAAGAATTATGTAATATAAATTTATAGAATAATAAATTATTTATGTAACTCATTCATTTAATTTAAAAGACATCTCTTAGAGCATGAAATAGGTATATTGAAGACAAATGAATTAAAGCAGAGAACCACTTCCTACCACAAAATGCTAAACTTACGGAAAACTTTGTATCAAAAGGAAGCACAAGTTAAAATTCACGTAAATTGAAGGGGTTTTCATGAATTTATTGGAGAAAGATCTTCTAAAAAGATTAGAAGAATGTTTTTAAAAGCATCAGTATGATTTTTAAAAAACTGAACAAGTTGAAATCCAGCCTGAAATCCTACAGGTCAACAGTGACATTACACCTGTGTAGGACTTAGTATAGAATGTCTGTGTTCTCAGATACCATATGTATTACTCAGGGTTCTCTAGAGGGACAGAAATAATAGGATAGGTGTATATATAAATGAGAGTTTATTAAGCAGTATTGACTTGTGCGATCACAAGGTGAGCTCCCACAATAGGCCATCTACAAGCCAAGAAGCAAGGAAGTCAGTCCAAGTCCCAAATATGAAGAATGTGGAGTCCGATGTTCAAGGGTCGGAAGCATCCAGAAGGGGAGAAAGATGTGGGCCAGAAGGCTAAACCAGTCTAGACTTTCCACATTCTAGTGCTTGCTTTCATTCTGGCTGTTCTGGCAGCTGATTAGATGGTGCCCACCCAGATTGACGGTGAGTCTGCCTTTCCCAGGCCACTAACTCAAATGTTAATCTCCTTTGTAACACCCTCACAGGCACACAATACTTTTCATTATTCAATCCAATCAAGTTGACATGCACTATTAACTATCACACCATGTATCCAAATGAAAGAAAATGTTCCTTTCAAACTCTATTATTCTGAAATTGCATTTTTCCAGTGTGTTCAGTGACTGATCATAGGCAGTAGGTAAATACATCTGAGCCAATCTGAGTTAAATAGGTTTCCTGACTATGGGGCTTTACTATTGGTCTTAAATATGCTATTACACTAAGGCACTCTAAGAGGGAGATGGTGTGTCCAAATGACCCCAAAATTATTTATCCAATGAATCCCTTTTAATTGAGCATGCTTTTGGTGTGCAAGATAAAAACTCAGATATGAGGCCCTGGAAAGATGCACTGGTCTTTACTTTGGAGGTCCCCACCAAAGTCAGTCAACACTTTATCTTATCTTTCTATCCTGGGGGCCATATGGCTTCATGGGTAGGGGAAGGGGTAGAAGAATATTTGTTTTTAATTGAAAAGAGAGTGTAATACAGAGTGTAAGGTTAAAACTTACCTGGTAGTTTATAGTATTCATTCGTCATCCATCCATCCACTCTGATTTATCCATCCCTTAAATCCTGCTGTACATAGAAAATCAGGTTTGAACTTGTTTATGCTCCAAAATAGTGGTGTGCTTAGTTCTGGTAAAGGACACTACCAAGCTTAGAAACATTAAGAAAGGTTCAGAGAAGAGTTACATTCATGCATTAGAAGACTGGAAAATGGGGGCTCCGTGTAACAGTTTTATATAATTAAGTGAATTATTCCAATTGGAGAAACAAGAAAAAAAAAGCCTCAATGAATATAGGTTTCTTCAACCATTCCCTGAACAAATATTGATAATATCTACTCTAAAAAGGCAGTGAGCTATTTTAGATCTTAGAGATTGAACTGAAGTCTGAAGCAGAAGAAATGAGCTTAACAATTATAAGAGTAGAAGCAATTATTATTATTTTGTATTCATATAAAACGGTTGCCAATATGGGTTGGAGGGTAGGGGAAGGGGTGAAAGGTACAGTGCATTTTTACAGATGTGGTACCTTTTGACCACCTGGCTCATCTCTTGTTCTCATTACTCTCTAGCACTGTGACCTTCAGAAAGTCATTGAACCTCTAGACCTCACTTCCCTTATCTGTAAAATGGTTATATAACAAGATTAAATGAAATACAGTATATAAAGCATTTAGTTCAATGTATGGCTCCAAAACAAATAATAAATGCCATCGCATTTCATGGTACAGTACTCGGAGTTTATTTTATCAATAAACACTTCCACTGGTTAGTGTATGTTTATTCTTCTAAAAGAGACATGATGTTTAGCGAGCAGAAATTGTATTTATAATTATTTAGGTAAAAGCCCAACCATTGAATATTCTATAAGCTGGTGGTTCTCCTACAGGCACCTGTCTATTTTTGCCATAAAGCTTTCTTTCAGATGCCCTAATTGGCTTGTGGTCACCAGATATTTTCTTTCTTTTTGGTTGAATTTTCCTAGACTTCAAATGAGAAGCTGCTACCTCTAGATCTCCTATCGTATAAGCTAAACTATATTTTCTCTAACTAAAATGTCTATTTCTTATTAAGTAAGGCAGCATTGAGACTGGAGGGCTTGGGTTCTGGAGTGTGAGTGATATTTGTCAGTTGCTAACCACTCACAGCCTCATTTTAAAACAAGGAAAGGTGACATTGTAGCTAAGACATGAGACTCGAATAACAATAAGAAGCCAGCCATTCAGAGATCTTGGGTGGGAGGGAGAAAAGGTGGACAATGATAAATCCAGAAACAGTAGGTGCAAATACCCTCAGGAAAGAACAAGATTGTTCACAAAAAAGTGAGAGAGAGAGAGAGAGAGAGAGAGAGAGAGAGAGAGAGAGAGAGAGAGAGAGAGAGAATAGTTTGGCTGTAGGCATTCCACAGCTGAAAGTTTATGAGGAAAGATACATATCTTATACTTTGTATTAAGCTGCTCCAACTTCTAGCATGCTAACTTAATTTGCTGAAAAATTGATTCTGTCTCTGCTAGAATTCATCCCTGCATTTAACCTATTTTCTTGTATTCTTAATCATATGCAATCATTTTCCACTAAACCTCTGTGTACCCAAGTAATCTCACTCCCCACTTGGTGTCTCTGGTTTCTAGCATTGTAACAGAAAACTATCATGACAGTCCCTCAATAGCATTATATGTTAGCACCTTTTTCCCCAGAAGCTAACTGTTCACCCCATTCACTGCTCTGCTGAACTTCCTCCAATTCATCTCTGTCTTTCTGCTGCTCAGCTAACAAAATGGAATAACCTTTTCTCTAAGAACGATATTACCAAAGAACAGAGGGAGAATCTCCCCTGCATGTTTTACTTGGCATTTTTTGTGCCCTATCCCAAACAGTCTATTTTCTGTTGCCTGATCCCATCACACAATCAAGTCTGCTTTTCTGCTCACTGCTCCTATGCCATTCTTGCAGCCAGCTTTCCAGGATTTGTCTTTCTCACTTAGTGTCTGTTTCCGAAATTCTCTCTCCAGGTGGTGGTGCACTTTTTTGAGTTGAATCTCAATTTTATCTCTACCCATATTTTCTATCATGTTATGTCTCGAAGTGTTTCTCAATTATTTTTGTCTTTAGCAGTGTTTTAGGGAATCCAACCAACCATGAACACCTAATCCTAAATGAACAGAATCTGAAATTCTTAACTGTGAGCTTCCTAGAGCAAAAATCGACTGTCTTGGACCAGATGAGTCTGTAAGCCCCTTTCCACTCTCTGGATCTGTAAGTAATAGGCGGTAGCTGGGAAAAAGAATTGTGCATAAATGAATACAAGAAAGGAATTAAAAGAAAGAGGAGGAAGAGGCAAACTAGCATGAGTTGAGTGTCTGCTACATCTAGGCATTGATAAGATTGAGAGGGGTAGACAAGCCTTCACCAACAGCACATTCATGTATATCCCCAACAGAAGTGTCTACCATCAGCGTGTATCTCTACCTACAGATAAACCAAACATTTATGACATGAAACCAGAATTATATCTTAAATATAATTCAGTATTCATATCTTTTCTTCTTTTATTACCACAGGCATTCATCTTTCCCCACAGAGCATTACTGAGCATTCATTGTGGATGCAGCATATTCAGTAGCAGTTTATCCCAGACATGCATCCGTGGAGAGGTGGAAGCCACACGCTTTTCTGAGAATCGGGTTTCATATGAAGACAAAAGTTAAAGTAGGACAGATGAATGATACTCTACCAAAGATTTTGAGTAGAGTGTTCTTAACGTTCCCATTCTTTCACTAACAGCAGGACAAAGGCAGGGGAGTTTTCTGATTTATCCCGATAGATCAGGATGCATGTTCTTGACCTTATATGTATGATACACTATTGAAACAACTGGAGAAACCCTCATCCCACCAAGCATATATTCATAGAAAAAGGAGACCACCATCAGCTTAAATTCTGCTTTCTCAGAGAGGTCTTGATTGACTAGATGCTCCAATTTTAAGTTAGCTCTTCCTGTTTTTCCCTCTTTTTTACCCAGTTACTTAGCTTCACAGAACTTATATAATTTTTAAATTATATGTTTATTGATTTAATATCTCTGTACCTCTTCCAGTCTGCATGCTCCATGAAGGCAAAAATGGGGGTGACTTTATTCATTTATTTTCTGCCTCCCCACTAGAATATAAGCCTCTTAAAGATAGGGGCTATGGTCACTATTCTTAGCATCTCTAGCTCCAGTGGCAGTAATAAGACAAAGAGTGCCAGGTGACCCAGTACTCCTTGATTTTGTGTGTGAGTGGGAAGTAGGGAGAGGTGCAGGCTTCAAGGACAAATAGAATTTGGAGTTAAAATGTTGCCAAGAAAAATCTGACAGTGCTCACATGACAATATTTCATTTCCTTACTCTTTGCTCCATCTTTGCAGGTAGATCCACTCTTCCTAAGAGAAATTACTTTTCCCTTATAATAATATTAATAATGATGACGGTTTAAACTGGTGTCTGTTATTTATTTACCAAATACCAAGTGTCAAATATTATCCTAAGCATTTACACCATTAATTTAATAACTTTTCTGCATGCTTTCAGGAGGCCAGAACAGTATCTGAGTCTGATTTGCAAATGTAGAAGAGGAGATTTCCTTGACCCAAATGTTAGATGAATCTTAAGTCAGAGGCAGACTCAAGCCATTACATGCATCTACTTTCTCCTAGCCCATATAGAACCAACTGTGTTCCATTTATCAAGCAAGGCGGGCATGTGAGACTTGGAACAGCAAGTAGACTCCATGCTTCACTGCAGCTCCAATCATCTGGAAGCAAATATCTAGACATTTTGTGAGAATTGTTCCTCTAAGCTCAGCAAGAACAAGTGCCTCTATTGATTAGCAGTGTTTACCACATACATGGGTGAGTAGTGGCAGGGGTCATTCAATGTACTCATCAAACCTAGCCCTTCTGCAGAGAAAATGAGTTCTTCTTAATGCCCCTGGAAAGAGCAAAGTTCAAACCCCATCAGTGCATAAGAGAGACTATAATATCAAGACTGTCTTTCTCCTTTCCAGAATTCCTGGCCAGAACTACAGCCATAGAACTACAGCTGGTGTGAGAGAAAGACAACGAAAAGGTGAGACCAAGAATGTGCAAATGAGGAGTTGAGAGCTCTCTCAACGCAGCTCAGTTCTTCAGCCCATTATACTCCGGGAAATATTTCTCTGAACTCTTACCTAACAGGTCTCACTTCCTGTTCTGTGACATTACAGGTTTTTATACATCTACTCCATAGTACTAAACACAGTTTGTAATGATGTAAGTTTATGAACAGTTGAAACACTTATGTGCCTCCAACTAAACTCTAGGCTGAGCTCCACAGAGGCTGAAACTATCTGTTTTGCTTCATTCACATCCAGTTCCCCACTCACTGCCTAGCAATTAGGAGCCCCCAATAAATGTTGCATACCTGACTAAAGGAATAAACAAGGCAATGGATTTTGGGGAAGCTTCATCAAGAGGTTTTGACCATCTCCCTATTCCTAAAGATGTTATTTGTACAGGGTTGTTCTTGCTTTTTGTTTAATTCACTTTGTGATTAACTCAGTTTGGGAGATGAGCAAAGCAGAATGAATGACAACTTTGTTTATGTGAAGACAATCCCATTTTAAGAAAAAAAATTTTTGAAATATGATTTTTTTTGCAAAAAACTCTGTCCTCAAGTTTTAGTTCCTAGAGTTACTAAAAGTAACATTAACTACTAACACTAGTTACTAACTAGTAATATGTTACTATTATTACTAACTGGTAATACTATTAACACTAACAGAACAAAGAGTTGAGTGAATAAAACTAACTAGTAATGATGACAGCGGTGGCCCATCTAGAGCAGCTGCTGCAGGACACCAGCCAGGAAAGGGCAGCCAGGGCGTGTGCCACACAGAGCCAGCTGGGGCTGGGAGCAGGCAGGAACCCGCCCTCCCCGGAGCAGCTGCAGCCACCTAAGCCACGGCTACGGACCACGACCTGGGCATCTGTGCACTCTTAGGGAGCCTGGGAAGGCCCGCCTGCCCCCGAAGGCTCGGAAGTGTCTGCTTCTGCTGCCTGGCCTGCCCCAGCACCCCTTCAATCTCAGAGCAAGGTTGGGGCCACGCCCAGGTGCTGTCGCAGCCCGGTCCAGTATGCGCACACTCAGAGCAGCACTGCCACACCAGCCCCCTGCCACCTCTGCCACCTCTGGATTTTTGGGTGCCAGAAAGCACAGGAGGGAGACAGGTGGGGCTGAGCACAGCTTGGCACTGGCCTGCAGGTGCCCCACCTCATGAACAGCAGCAGGAGGCAGACAGCCTCCTGGGTGGAAGGGACAGATGCCAGGTGAAACCCCACCTTCAAGCCAGGGAGGACCTGAAGCCTGGGGGTCAGGCTACTAGTCCCACAAACCAGAGTGGGAACTTGTGGTGCCTTATCTGGGCCCCATCCATGGTCGCTTATAGACCAGTCAGCACAATGGGATTCTTGGGGTGTCGTTCACCAGGCCAACTTGGCAAAATGAGTCCAGAGGGTTCAAGCAAAACTCGGGCAAAGGCACCATGGGCCACAGAGGTTTCTGGCTGGCGAAGTGACACCCCAAGAATCACATGACAGTAACTCTAGTTAGTAGTGTTACTAAAAAGTTAGTGTTACTAATTAGCATTACTAGTTAGTTTTATTCACTAGTAACACTAGTAATTTTGAGTGAATAATAAAAATAGGCCCTCACTAGCAATGACCAGGCCTCAAAAGTATACAAACCAATATAAGTTTCTGCATCTGATGAAGTGATTTTGGTGTGGAGTAGGGGTAGGGGGAAAAGGACTAATGAGGAGACATGGGAGAGAAATACTTAGAAGAACCAACCCAGTAAGATGAATGCATACCCATTCTTACTAAGTCTTATCTTAGATTTGGCTTAAGTAAGGTAAGATTTAGTTGAGTGGGTACACATTCATCAACAGGCCATCCATGGAGTTGAGTGGAGTTGTGTGGAGTTGTGTACCCACTCAACTCCATGGATTTTCTTTTTTTAAAGGTTGCTGAAGTTGTGGGTCCAGAAACTGTCAAGCCTTGGTCTGAAAGAAGTCACAGACATGGTTATCACCAGCTACTTTCATTCTAAGAGAAGGATACCTGGACCCTGAGAACATCTTACCTCATGGCCAAGGGTGGAAGATTAGGGAGGAGAGGCAGTTGACTATTTCAAGAAAGCAAGATCCTGTCCTTTTTTTAAGACCCTAGTATTAAGGGCTAAATTCTATCAGCCCCAGTAAGGCTAGACTAGGAAGTAGTGAGACAGGCTAATAGCCCATATCTTAGATCCTTAGCTGACACAGGAGGTATCTGACATTCCTCCTAGTGGAATACAAGCTATACTATGAGCAGAGAAGAACCCAGAATAAGTCATGCAGCCTATGAAAGACACTGATTGCTCAAGTAAGTTGACTCTCACTCCAGTCTCAAGCAAGGAGGCTCAGGACAGCTTTCACTTGCACAAAGTGGACATTTGCTCAGGCAGCATCTCTGTGAGCCTTAGCTCAGTGTCTCCCTGGGCCAAACAAGACAAGGAGCCTCCCAAGTCTGTACCAAGTCTCTGTAAAGTCTCTTGCCTGTGTCTCCCGGTCTCTGCTTCTTACATTCTACTTTGTAGTGTCAGCTGGCTTTCTCTGCCTATCTCTTTAGGTATTTCTCTAATCTATCTCTTTAAGTCTAGGCACTAGTGGGCACTCAGAAAATCTTTGTGGGATGAATGTTCACATCATTAGTCTAGTAATTAGGGCTAGCTAAAAAATGTGCCAGGCCCAGTCCAAAGTGAAAATATGGAATCTTTCCTTCACAAGAGAGGAAAAGAGGGCTGTTGACGGCAGTAAGAGCAAATGGGTTTTCTTTTTCTTCCACAACTTCTCTCTTACCTCATCATAGTGTTTTTTAATTTGCTGTTCAATTTGTTCTAAGAAAAAATAAAAATTTAAATTTTATTAGCATTAATTTTGCTATTTATCTTTATAATATGCAATGACAATTTGAAATGCGAATATAAGAACATTTTGCTCATATGAGGAGTCACTGAAATTACTGAAAATTATTTTGCTCTTATGAGGAGTCACTAAAAATACAATTTATATTTCATAACTCATATAAGCATTTGTATTTTGTTTTTTACTGGAATAGTTGAAATGCTGCACAAAACTAACTCAACAGTTTTTATGTCACTCCTTGTTATAATTCTACCAACACTCTCTCTCTTCTTCTTACTGATGATTAACGATGAGTAAAGAAAAAGGGGGATGCATTTTCCTGTCTTTTCATTCCTTCCATATCATCATTTTCAGCTTAATACAGGGAAGTACGTGAGTAAGAAAAGACATAATGGGATTCGTTGGTCTTTTATGTTTATTTGAACACCATTGCCTGTCCCTAAGAATCACAGTGAGGACTCTGTGTGCATTTTCTCTAATGCTGTGTTTGTGCACAGTGTATTAGCAATTGGATCAGCCCTGAAACTGACATAAAAGTCTAGGCCAACTGAATTGTTTTCACATAGCCCACAGAAATGCCTTCATTTTCTTAGCTTATAAGATTGTGTCTTATAAGGTAAGCCACATGTATATTGTGGCTAGAGATAAACTGAAGAAAGACAAAGAGGGAAACACACAGCAAGGGATTTCTGAGGCCAGATTTTATTCATCTATTTCTAGTCCCAAGGGTTTAAAGCAGATTAAACACAAAGCTCCTGACCATTGTGGCTCTATGGAGTCCACAGGGTTCATTTCCCTTACCACCAAGATAATTCAATTCAACAAATATTATTGAATCTTACCATATGCTTGTTGTGACAATGCCAAGACCAGCTACAGAGGCAGGGCAGATACTGAAAGCTGCCTGGAGATCAAATTTTATTCCTGGGAAACACAGATATTTAGCAAAATGGAATAAAGGGCTTCTGAAAGATGAAAAAACAGATTCTGGACAGGAAACTAGAGAGATTCTGTATAGAAAACTATGTCCCCATCTTCAGTGTGTGCACAATTACACAGTTCCTCACCCTGAAACTGGTTGTGTTCATGCCCCTTGCAAGATAAGTTACAGCAAGAAAGGGAACCTAGGGGCAGATTAAGAGAGCCTTGGCTTTCTGCTTCTTGCACTCGTTGAAGTTAGGGATGTTGTATCAGGAAGGGCTGGCAAGAGATTCTAGAAGGATTTCTACGATTTTGCTTCAGGAGCAGGTGCTGAGATGAAGTGGCTCTGCCAATCTAAGTGCAAAAAAAAAAGATGTTTTTAGATGAATGGCAAACCTAATCTTGATGTGTCTATGTTCTAAGAGTGAATAAAAAAATTAAAAAATGGTTTATTCATCTGCTTATTTCAGACATATTTTATGAACACCTATTTTATATGTCAGGCACTGAACTGGGTGTTGCAAAAACAAAAAATCCAATAAGACACTGGTTTTTCCCAGGAGGTACTCTTAGTCTAGTAGGAGAGACATTTACATAAAAAGCAAATAAAATGCAGTGTGACAAATGTAGAGAGCTAGGTACGGCTGCTATGGGACATCTTAAGGGCTGGCAACAAACCCAGGGCTCAGGAATTTAATAGCTCTGCTATGAAATGAATGTGCTTTCCTTAAATTCATATGCTCGAATCCCAATCCCCAATGTCATGGGATTAGGGGTTGAAGTCTTTGGTATGTGCTTAGATCATAAGGGCAGAACCCTTATTAATGGGATTAGTGTCCTTATTAAGAAACCCTAAGTAGCTTTCTTTCCCTTTCTTCCATGTGAGGACCCAGCAAGAATATGGCCACCTAGGAGCCAGGTAAAACTTGTATTACCTAAAGGTGTTGAAAGCTTTCTGGCATTAATTTAAGCACATTTTTTAAAAATTATGCTCACTAGATAATAAATCCACCAGTGCTTTGATCCAGGACTTTCAGTCTCCTGAACTGTAAGAAATAAACTTCTTTTTTTATGTTCCCCAGTCTGTGATAGTTTTTACAGCAGCCCAAACTGACAAAGACAAGCTCCTTGCACAGACAGGCTCCCTAAAAAATATTTAGTAAATGCACGAATGAATGAGTAAATGAAAATGAGACATCCTAGAGGAGCTAGTAGATAAAGCTAGTCCTAAAAATTTATTAGGCATTATCAAGATTGTTTCAGGAGGAAAGAAAATGTGCAAAATCTCAAGTGCAGAATGCAGCAAGGCATGTCCAGGAAAATCCAAAGAGATAAGTGTGGCCAGACTGTAGGGTGTGCAAAAGGGAGCAGTGAGCAATGTGCATGAGAAAGTAAGCAAGAATCAGTTATGGAGGAGCTTCCTAAGTCATGCTGGCATATGAGACTTTACAGAAAGGGCAATGTGGAGCCCCTAAAAAGTAGAAGGAGGAAAAGGGTGTGATTGGTTTATGTATTAGGAAGCTCATTCTGGCTGCAGTGTTAAGTATAGATTGCAGACAGCTAGTCTATGAATACAGTGATGCTAGCTGATCCTTGCCATAATCCTCATCAGCAATAATGACCACTCATCAGAGGTGGTAGTGGAGATGGAGAGAAGTGAAAATGCTCAAGGGATATTAAAAAGTACAAACATAAGGTTTCTGATGATTGGATATTGGAATGTGAACAAAGCAAGAGTCAGATTTCAGATTTGGGCAGGTAGTCAATGGTGGCACCATTTTCTGAAATAAGAATTCGCCATCGCCACCCAAAAAAGAATCTGGTTTGAGGAGATGGGAGATGCTGGGAATATGGTGAATTTGACGTTGCTAAGGAAAACCCATGCTGATCTACTGAGCATTTTGACTATGGAATTTGGGGCTAGAAAATATTTAGATAATTTCATGTATATTTAAAGTTGTGTAATTAGAAAAGCCCACCTAGGCAGATTGGACAGCAAAAACTTAAGAGGCTAGCAAATGGAATGCCAACACAAATACAGTGGAGCAAATGAAAAGCTGAAAGGAAATACAGAGGAAGTTTACCCAAAGAGTGTAATGTCACAGAAACCAAGGAAGAGAGTATTTCAAGGAGGAAGACAACCACAGGGTGAAATATGCAGTGAGGACAAGTAGGATAAGAATGTATACATGCTCAAGTGGATTTGGGAGAAAGAAGATCACACATCACCTTGGTCAGAGGACCTTTAGCTCATTACCTGGAATGGCATGCATGGATACACCCATGTGCTACCTCCAGCATGGGTGCAATATCAGGATCCACCTACCAACCAGCATCATCTAATAGCCAAATATGAGCACTGCCTCCAATATCTGGACTCGGCAGGATCCCACCACCATCTGTAAAATCATAGGGTCTCTGTGCACACTGGGCACTTGGAAAAACATGTGTATTGCCTAAAGGTGTTGAAAGCTTTCTGGGGTTTCCTTAAGCATAATCTTTTAATTGTCTTTTCAGTAGCTAGCAGACAGGAAAACAAATTTGTCTTAAACATCCTGAGTTTATAGGCTTCTCACTCCTCGGCAGCTGCAACTGGCAAATGTAGTTTCTAGAAATGGGAGATGAGGGAGATTGCATGCTTTTCGCTGTTGGAAGTTGAGAGGCAGTGATGGAAAACTTACAAAGTGGCAGCTCTCAGCAGATATTTGGATTGTTAATATGCATGGTTGGAAGGTTGCAGCTTTCTAATTTGAGAGAGGTCTGTCAATAGTAATACCAGACTCCAGGAATAAGCGGGAAACCTCAGCATCTGTGTTATACTGAATGTTCACACACTTTCAGAGTTTCTTCTAATTTATAAGATCAGTTTTCTATGTTTCTTTAGCACTTTCCTTTACATTTATATAGTAGGGGCAAATGTTGCACATGAAACAATCATAGGGTCAAGGGATCTTCACAGCAAAGCCTTTAGGTATGAGCTACCCATGCAATTTTTCTCACCTTCCCAACTTCTTTCTTTGCTTTCTGGATCTCTGCCTTATGCTATCTCTTTGTTCATTTCTCTTTCTCTCTCCATCCATTCTCTCTCTCTCCTTCCCTTATTCCTCCTCCCTTTCTCCTTCCCTCCCTGCATTCAATCTTCCCTTTTTTCCTCCCATTCTTTCCCGTTTAACACATTTACCTTTCTTCCTCTCTGTTCATCTCTCTCTCTCCCCAGCCCCCACTTTCCTCCTTTCCTCCCTGTCTCCCCGTCTCTCCTTCAGGGTAAGATAGCTACACAGGAAGAAGTGGAAGACAAAGTCATACTTAACACTGTTTATATAAGTCTAAAATGCATATAAAAAACTTCTTAGACCTGGAACCAGGAAACATTAAAAAGAAACAATAGATCTGCCTAAGAAATGTGGAACAATAAACCATCTCTGTTATGAGACAGTGTGGCTGACATTGAGCCAGAGAAAAGTATAATCAATTGCTAAGAGTGGCATATAATGATGTAGAAATGTCAGAAGTCCCTGAATCAAAAAAAAAAATTCTAAGATCGGAGTTCCCGAAACTCATAGAGAGTACCAAAAACAGCAATACAAATAAGATCTGTGAATAATGCAGGGAAAATATAGAAGATGAGAAAAGAAAAAGATGAAACCAGCTTGAAAGGTAATATGATGTCATACAGGCTTAGCTAGAGTTGCTTGAACAGAACAAAAAAAGAAAGATGAGCCAAGGAATTAAAAATGATGAGCCACCTCAAATGAAGGCCGAGAGAGGAAATCATAACCCAAGACAGACATTTTTGTGCTCACTGGCGTCTACACTAGTTAATAAAATACCTAACTGTCATCGGCTTCATAATTTAACCTCATCCTTAGGCAGAAAGTTCTGGCTATAAAATGGGTTCTTGTTTCCTACTAATGTAAATTACACTGTGACCACAGCACAGCTTCTAAGATCCCAGACAAAGCTGAATGCCCAATCACGTGCTTTTTTTTTTTCTTCAAAGCTACCATATCCATGGATTCCATTTCAGTGAAATCCCATTATGGCCCCAGATTTTCTATGTTAGAATATGTTTTCCATAGAGTTTACCTCTAAATGCTGAACCTGAAGGAGATAGCCATGTGAAATTCCTATATACATACAGCCCACAGCAAAGAAATATAAAATATTGGTGGGGACAATCAATTTGTGTCTAAGATGGTTTGCAGTGACAGCTCTTGGCACTCATTTTGATACTTTATTTTCTCCATATCTATCTATGAAGGTTAGATTTTATTGGAGTGATTCTAATTCCTCACAATTTGCCCATGCCATCTTGGTGAGTAGAGTGTACTTTCCAGCCACTTGACTTTAAGCCTAGTCATGTGACTTGTGTTGGCCAACACAATGTTAGTATATGTGGCATAAATAAAAATGTGAACAGTGCTTACACAGTTGAACTTCCTGTCTTGTGTTTCTGTCCTTATAGATAAAAATACACCTTGGTAGCTGCTGGATCGAGGCAAATGAGAGACAGATGGAGCTCATCTAGATCCAACTCTACAGCTTGAAGCTAAGCCTAACTTAGCCAAGTCTAGACCAATTTGACTCTGGCCAATTCATAGATGTTTGAGCCAGAGGTAATGTGCTTGTTGCTGGAATCCAGTTAAACTTTGAAGTCTTTTTGAAAAATATGTTGTCATTGCAGACATAGCTGCACATAATTTTCCACACTGTGGGAGGTCAAGTTAAGCATGCTTAGACTTTAGAGTAGAATCCCCTTATTAGTGTGGTGGCAAAAATGTTACAAGTGGCATAGCCCTCCAGTTTCCTTCTCCTAGCCCTCTGCCTAAGAACTAGAGTACTTAGTTTTGAAGTGGAGCCCTAATGGGAGTGTTCATCTCTCACCAGGGTTAAGCCTCTTGGCCCTTACTGAGCACTCAGAGTTATTAGTTCCCTGGAAGATATGAAAGAGCTTCTCTGGCTCTGGAGTTCTCAGTCAATAACCAACTGTAACAGACCTACCCTTCCAACAAAATCTTGATTCAGGAAATTGACTGTCTGCTTATAGTTAATGCTCTATTTTTTTATATCTAATAGGAGAAACATTTTCAAAAGAGCCATGACCTGACTCAGTTAATGTGCAAGGAAAAGCAAGCAGTTCCAGACTTGTCAGTTTATCCATTATCCCTTATCCAAAATCTTCCAACTCTCTTGGAATTATTTTGTTCTTCATAGTTACCCAACAAATATCTTACTCTTGTTTTGGACCTTCTTTTGTAGTTATTTCACATAAGCTCCTTTTGACTAAGGGCACATATTTGGAATCAGACTACCCAAGTTCAACTCTTGAGTCTACCATTTATTAGCTTGTATTATTTTGGGCAAGATAATTAAATTCTCCAGGTCTAAGTTCCCCCATTATAACATAATAATAGTTATTATCTGCTAGGGTTGTCTTAAGAATTAAATGAGATAATTCATAAGAACCCTTTAACACAGTGCCAGCCACCTAATGAAGGCATAGTAAGGGAAAAGTATTATGCTGTTGATAATACTTGTCTAGGCAGGGCTCTTGTATTTTTCTCTGTATCCCTTACTGTGCAATTCTTCTGTCCCATAACATTCTAAGATTGTTTTAGAGTGAGTTGCTTCAGAGTTGAATAGTTATAATGGTATATTCTCATGTTTAGAAATAACTTCGAATTCCATTTAGGGTAGACATTGACAATGAAATCTCTATGAGTAATTTCTGCAATTTTTTATTCGTTATGGAGAGACAAAATGGGTATAATGGTGAGAATTGTTGGGTAGGAGGTCAGGAAAGAGATCGAGTATAAATGCTCACTATGCTGAGTAATAATGGTAATGAATAATGGTATGATCTTAAGAAATCTAATATTTAGTTTTTCCCACCTTAAAGACAAAGTTGTTATAAGTATTTAATAATGGAGGGTAGTATATAAACTTCCTGGCATATAGCAGCTGCTCAATAAATAGAAGTTACAGTTTTTTCTAAACTTGCTAAAGAGCCAAGGGAAAAATAAAGATTTTGCAGGCAAAGCCATTTCTTTTTCTCTGTTATGTGCCTATCTGTTTCAGAAACAGAATTAATTCCCTAAACTTCATCAAAGGAAGGATTTGAACATTAAAAAAAAATCAATCTCTTTGGGTTTGTTATTGCTTGTTTCACATACCTCAGAGGCATTAATACAAACCTTTATAATGTCATCAGAAAGAAGATAAGTCAAACACTACTTAACTCAATAATTGCAAGGTTATTATTTTGCAAGGAATAGAGTTAAAATTCCATTGACATGAGGACTGTAACTTTTTCATTACTCCTTAAGGCAAAATGTCCTTGATGTCAGTAGCTCATGTAGAAACCAGTTACAAGTCCTTAGCAGAGACACTGTACTGGAAATACTGGATCTACTAAAGGGTTTGAGCTTCCCCACCCACTTCCTTTAGAGTGACAATTCACACCTATAAAAACACAGAAGTACAGGGGTTTGTTAAACACTAAAAGACCCAAAGAGCCAAGACTTCTGCCTGTAAAAGTGGTGCTTCCTAAGGGGAAGACGTGGAATTTCTCAGAGAATACAGCCTTTCTTGACCAAGGGACTGTACAATGAAGATTAGGAGGTAACTACTGGGGTAAAAGAGGGATGGTTGCATCTTTCTGGAACACTCTAATAAAACTGTAAGTTTTACTAACTTCTTCTTTCATATGATAAAAGCATCAAATTGTATACTTAAAGTCATAATATCCTGCATGTACTGCTCAGGAACACCTATTTAGTCCCACTACAAAACTTGAAGAAAAGGTCTCCTCTCCTAATGCTGTACCAGTCCTCTCCTCGTGGATGACTTGGGAAAGAAATTCCACAAGTATAAGACGGTAAGAGGCCAATTTCTTTATTCCTCTCCTCTTCATTTGTCCTCCCACCTCAATTGCTTTGGGAGAATAACACAGTCTGGAACAGAAAAAAAGGAGCCTTGTTGTACTTCATTTGCCTGAAGAGGTCTCTTCTATTAAATAGATCCATTACGTTACTCTCAGAAAATTATAGTCATAATTATTTCAAGTTTTAGCCCTGAATATATAAGGGCTCTATTGCTTGATCTCTGTGCGCTTATCTTGGTGTGGCAAAGCTCAGTAAGGCTATCTTGAAAGTAGCCTGAAATCAACTGGTCAGATGCTACCGGCAGGAGGAGGCCACCAGGGGGATCAAGGACATGGGTGACACAGTGAGTGTAATTATTAGTCAAGATAGGCTAGGTTAGGCGTTAGTGGCAAATTATCTCAGTGGCTTAGTACAATAAAGGCTTATTGCTTATTCATGTGGCATGTCTACTGCAGGTCCACAAGCCCTCTGTTCTACTCACAGATCCAGATTTTAACATTCTTTGCCATCTCACAGCTAATGATCTAAACATCAGCAGAAGGAAGGTGTCTTGGGTCAGGCTCACTAGAAAACAGGTCAAGATAAAGATTTCTGTGCAGAAAAGTTTTTAGAGAGGGAACTCTGATTGACATCTGCCAGGGAGAGAGCAAAAATGACTGAGCAGACAACTGTTGAACTGTTATTACTAGTAACAACAAAGGTCTCGGCCAACCCAACAGGGAGTGCTGGAGTTAAAAATGGTTCTCCACAGGTGTCTCACCTTAAGGCAAGGGACTGGGCCTTTATTATCCCTTATCAACCAGTCCTTTGATTGGCTTGACCCCAGAGAGAGGTTATAACCTTGAGTAAAGTGTGTCTGTCTACTGAGGATAATTCCAGGAGAGCAACTAAGCTGAGAGCTGTCACCAATGGGAGGAATCAGAGGCTCAGTCCTGAAGAGCAGGTCTGGGCAGCATGAAATAGCATCCACTACAAGGGGGAAAGTGCATGCACTTTTCACTGCCTCCTCTTGGGAGAGAGACATGCCATTTTCTGCTCTCATTTCAATGACCAAAAGGAGTCACATGATTCTATCTAATTAAAAGGAATCTGGGAAGTGTGGGAAAGTAACTGGAATATTTGGGAAGGATCATTATTTCTGCCACAATGGAGAAGAGATGTCCCTTTGGAGCTACTCATTTCTGTTTCAGTGGCGTAATGTCTTTTAGTCATGGTCATGATACAGGTTCTATTTTGCACTTGGCATCCAATGAGTCTGGTTTCTGCCTGCTTTTCCTGAAGACTGCTTAGCCTCCTTTCCTTCCATCCACAAGATCAGATCCTTCTCCCAAGCTCTTGTCCTAGTCTTGTCTAGGCATCAAGTCAAACTTCCTAGTGCTTTTTTTTCTCTGCTGGAGGTCCAGTTCAAACAAAACCAAAACCAAAAGTAAAACAGGCCGGTTCTCTAGTCCTGACTACACTTCTTATACCATAGTTTCTCCCACACTAAGGCTTTTCTCCATCAGTCCTCTCTGTTAAGCAGAGTACTGAACTCTACATTATTCTAGTAGGTCCTGTTACATGACATTCACTTCTTTTCAAATTGTCTACTCTTATCCTTCACGTTATCATGATCAATATCCTTATCTGGACAACCGCCAGCTGCCTTTTGTTCGATCTTCTAGACTGTTCTCTCTAACCACCCAGCTGGTTGAATTTCTGGTACCTGAAAACCCTGAGGCACTGGGACTAAGCCAAGACCACTAAACTGAGATAAAAAGAAAGAAATACCTTCTCAACCTTAAAATTCTTTGAAAGTACATTTTCTGTGATCAGCTATATTTTTTCTCTTTTAATCATTTGGTTCTTTCTTGCTGTCAGTGTACATACACATTACTTTTCATCATTAGGGAGTCATCACATTCTTCATCTAGACAGTACTCTGTGTTTTAAAGACCTAGACCAATTATAATTAAAGCAAGGTATGGATCACTGCATACATGGTATTAGTCTTTGGACACTCAGTAGCTATTGACCTACTTTAATAATTGACTGAGACTATTGATTCTTTAAATATAACTATATGTTTCTATCTTAGTGGAACCAATTACAGTTTATAAGTCTATTGAAGAATAGCTGACTTCTCAAAATTTGACTTATTCTATCTCAGGGACTCAGAAGATAACTAATGACAGCTAAATGACTTCTGACCCATGTCTGACTGAGGCTGGGCTGCTACCTGAGTCCAGCTCCAACATTCTGTGACAATTTGCAGTGAAATAGTACCTAGAGGAGGAGAGAGAGCTTGAGAAAAGCAGAAAATAATGATGAACCAAGCCATTGTTGTGAATTGGCAATTACTGCCTATTTAATCCAGACTTCACAGACACATATTTTTATTATTAGGTGACAATTTTTGAAATTGGAAGATTTTACTTAAAAATTTGTATTCCAAGTGTGAACTGAAAAGGCAGACCTGACAAGGCCAAGTCCTCCTTCCTTGTGGCAGTAATTCATGGGGGCCAAATAGTGGAGGGTCCCCTTCAAAAGGACAAGAGGATGCTCATTCTCCAGATCACCAAAGCCCCGCTATTTCCCTTTGTTAGAGACGGAATTGCATTCCTCCAAAATTCATATGTTGAAGTCCTAACCCCAACATAACTGTATTTGGAAATGGAGATTTTAAAGAGGCAATTAAGGTTAGATGAGGCCATTAGGGTAGGGGCATAATACAATCTGACTAATGCCCTCACAAAAAAAGGAGGAAGAGACAGTAAGGGTGCTCGCACACAGAGAAAGTCATGGGAGAACATAGTGAGAAGACAGCCAGCTGCAAGCCAAGGAGAGGGGCTGCAGGAAAAACCAAACCTGCCCACACTTTGATCTTGGGCTTCTGACTTCCAGAACTGTCATATTTCTATTGAAGCTCCCCAGTCTGTGGTATTTTGTCATGGCAGCCTTGGCAGACTAATACATCCACTGTGTCCTCAACATCTATCACCATGCCTGTGCTTTAGGGTTTTTCTCCTATTCCCTGATCCTTTCACTCATTACCTTCCTGAGTGAGTACAGAATGAATTTGAGTTTGTCACCCATGATATCACTTTCACCAACAATAAGCTGCAGATGACTGCAGTTTAAAAAAAATGACTTTGAAGGAGTATATTAAGGTAGATAAAATGAAACCAGATTAAATATTAAGGTGGAAACAGTTTCTACTAAGGTAGATATTTTTTACACTAAAGAGAACACCATGAACAAAATTTTAGCAGTAAATTAGTCCAGTCACTGTGGGGAACAGTTTGTAGATTTCTCAAAGTACTAAGTATTGAACTACCATTTGACCCAGCAATCCCATTACTGGGTATAAACCCAAAGGAAAAGAAATTATCCTAGCAAGAGGATGCGTGTACCCCTGTGTTCACTGCAACACTATTCACAACAGCAAAACTATGGAATCAACCCAGGTGCCCAACAATGGTGGATTAGATGTAAAAAATGTAATGCATCTATACCATGGCGTACTATGCAGCCATAAAAAAGAATGAAATCATAGTCTTTGCAGCAACATGGATGCAGCCGGAGGCCATTATCCTAAGCAAATAAATGCAGAAACAGAAAAATAAATCCCATATGTTCTCACGATTGGGAGCTAAACACTGGGTACACATGGACATAAAGACAAGGACAATAGACACTGGGGCCTCCTAGAGGAGGGAGAGAAGGAGGGGCAAGGGCTGCTCACTACATGGATGACAGGATTAGTCATACTCCAAACCACACCATTACATGTTATACCTTTGTAACAAACCTACACATATACCCCCAGTCTAAAAAATAATTGAAAAATAAAAGTTATGTACCAAATGTTACCAAGAGTTATTTCAAGAAAGTGTAAATCTACATTGTTTTAATATTCAGTTTTGCTTCTATATGTTCTACTTTTTTCTATAATGACCATGCATTATTTGTAAAATAGGAGTAAAAATTAACCTTAAAAAAACAGATTTAAAAAAAAAAATTGTACCAAATGTCGGGTTAAGAAGAATACAGTGGTTAAGATCACTGATTGTGAAGCAAAAAGAAAAGAACATTCTGAGTTCGCTCCTTGTCTGTGCTCCAGTTTCTTACTCTAAAATGAAGACAGTGATGTAAGGATGCATACAACAGACACCAAGTGCAGAGTGCAGGGCCTGGAACAAACACAACCAAAGTAATGAGACATATTTGTTCCGCTGGGATTCTAGGATACTTTTCGCTACACATAACAAAAATCTCAATTCAAGTTATCCTAAACAATAAATAATTGACTCAATTTAACAACTGGGAATGCAAAATTATGGTGTGTTTTGCAGTTGACTTGCCCTGGTAGCCCCAGTTGTCTGTTTTACTGTAGCTGTTTTAGATCTGTTTCTTACTGTAGAGCCACTCCATCCTCAGGCGGGTAGCTAAATGGCTGTTGCAGTGCTGGGCTTCACAATGTGGAAACACATATATTTTCCTATACCTGCATCGTTTTCCAGAAGTACCCACCAACTTATCTTTATACCCCATTGAGTCAAATGTCCATGCCATTTCCTTGTTGTTAGGGAAATGTCATGATCTGACTGGCTTAGCCATGTGTTCCTAAACCCATCATTATAAAGGAGAATAGTACAATGAAGATTAAAATAATCAAATGTCACTTCTAGAGTTCTGATTGGTTAGGTTACCCTGAGACACATGGGCTACTTGGTGGAAGTGTGAGATATGTGAACAAAATAAAGATCCTTTTACGGCATATGAGAAAAGCTGTGTAGACAACCAACAGTGACTACTATATGAATATTTTCATTAGTAAAAGAAAGAGAATTCAGCCTGGGTGCAGTGGCTCATGCCTGTAATACCTGCACTTTGGTAGGCTGAGGCGGGCAGATCACCTGAGGTCAGGAGTTTGAGACCAGCCTGGCCAACATGATGAAACTCCATCTCTACTAAAAATACAAAAATTAGCCAGGCATGGTGGCACGTGCCTGTAACCCCAGCTACTCAGGAGACTGAGGCAGGAGAATAACTTGAACCCAGGAGGTGAATGTTGTAGTGAGCTGAGATCATACCACTGCACTCCAGCCTGGGAGACAGAGCCAGACCCTTTATCAAAAAAAAAAGAAAGGAAGGAAGGAATTGTCTTACTTAAACTTTTTGATGTGCTAAGTGACATAACATAATATAAATATATTAGCTAATTTAATCTTCACCACAGTCCTATGAAATGAATGTTATGATGCCCATTTTGCAGATGAGGAACTGAGTGTCAGAGAAGAATCTCTTGGTTTTAAAATGTATAAAGTAGCCACATGCATGGACTCAGCAACATAGAGGAAAATAAGAAAAAAAAAATCTAGAAAATAGTCAAAAGTCAGAATCACGTCTCTGTGACTTCATTCCTTTTATGTCAAATGAGAACAGCAATAGCACCTATCTCACAGGGTGTCACAAAAACTAAATGAGTTGATACATGTGGCATGCTTGGAAGAGTGTCTGGCCCTTAGGAAGCAAGCAGTAGGCACTAGCAATTTCATTACTTCATTTCACGGAATCTACCTATCCATTAATGGGAAGAAATTTCATTATTTGGGAACCACTAAGAAAGAAAGAAAAAAAAATGCTGCCAATTAAACTATAACCTAAGACTGTCTTATCACTTAGAATTTTTATACTATATTTATTGGAAGAACGGTTTTGGCTTCATTAATCATGGATTTTTATCATAAATTACTTTTGTGCATACATAAAAAGAAAAAGTAAGAGAAATAAATTGGTTAAGGTACTCCTGAAATTTCTCTAAAATTCAGTCTGAATCTTCATCCCTTTTTTTTGTTTTTTGAGACGGAGTTTCGCTCTTGTTACCCAGGCTGGAGTGCAATGGAGCGATCTCGGCTCACCACAACCTCCGCCTCCTGGGTTCAGGCAATTCTCCCACCTCAGCCTCCTGAGTAGCTGGGATTACAGGCACGCACCACCGTGCCCAGCTAATTTTTTGTATTTTTAGTAGAGACGGGGTTTCACCATGTTGACCAGGATGGTCTCAATCTCTTGACCTCGTGATCCACCCGCCTCGGCCTCCCAAAGTGCTGGGATTACAGGCGTGAGCCACCGCACCCGGCCTCTTCATCACTTTTTCACTGAGTCCCTAATATCCAGCTTCTACACAAAAACAATCTCCGTGCCATGAAAAGTGCTAATGATTTTGATAATATTTTATAAAATTCATCATATCAAAAACCAACTTTACTTTGGGTCTTCTTAACATCGTTCTGCAATTATGTATAGTTAGTCTTCTTTGACTCACTCTAAAAAGAGTGCCAACAATCTGAACAACTGGTTTCTCGTGGTTAAAAAGCATAATCCACTTCTGTCTCTAGGATTTTCTTCCAAGCTGTTGACATCCATTCAACAAGTTTTGATGCTGACATCTTGAATGCATGTACCGGTCATGCCAATCACTTCACAACTGCTGCCTCTTTGAGAGTTAATATAAAATGCCATCAATTAAAAGATGCATCCCAGTTTCAGAGATTTGAAGATATGAGAGTTGTGCACCTTACAGATGATGAAATAAAGTAGTCATACTCTTCATATGAGTTGTTCTCTTACTCTTATAGGTTTGTCTCCAAAGACCATGGCCTTAGAGTAAAACCAACAGCCGATGCCAGTAGCACAGAGTATTGATCAAATAGACGAGAACTGAATACAAATTGAGATACACTTCACTCTTACTGAGAAATTTACAAAGTTAAAGGAAAGAGACATCAAAAAGTTCCATTGGAAAAGCACCTTGTTTTATCGATTAGAGAAAATAAACACAGAGGTGCCTATGCAAGCAGCCATAAGATATTTTTTTCTTCTTTTTAGAATGAATCAGAAGCTTGCAGTGCAAAAACATTGAAATTTCCACGACCTTCCCTTTCCCACTATAAGCAAGAGCCCTGATGTTGGTATTTTTAACAAGCTCCTCCAGGGATTCTGAGGCATAACCTTTATAGGGTGAATAGACTGCCAGTAGAGTCTATATTCAGTTAGCAGAGTTCAGACAGGAGGAACCTGGGGGGATATCACAGGATGCATGAGTGTAAACAGGTGGTCTATCAAATGCTACATTTGCCAGTAACTTTGCAGAATTCAAAAACATCTCAGTAGGTCTTCAAAAGTTTTATAATTACCTATGTCAGCCAAGAAGATTTAAAGAACTAGAACATACCCTACCAAGAGTTGTCATAAGAGATCTTGTCTTCTTTTAATCCTGAAATAGCTCTTCTAAAGACATTTTCCAAACGTCAAGACACCTTTGTTAATTGCTGCTACACTTTATTAATTTAGTTCATCAATCAGTTAATCAGTCAACAAATATAATTAATTCCTTCTCTTTGCCAGGCACTTTAATAAGTGCTGCCAAAAAAAAAAAAAAATGACTATTTGACCCTTCTCTTCCAAGAAATCAGAGTCCAGTGGAGGCAGATAAATAAGGTAATGATTTAAAAAAGAGTGTGACATGTAGTTTAGTTTAAAGAAACAGAAGAAAGAGTAGCTGGACCCCAACTTAAAAACCGGAATAGGTGTGTCTTGGAGAAAATAATACTTCCTGTAGTTAATAACAGCCACGTTCTTCCTGGAAGTTCCCCGTCCACTTTTTCTCCCTCTTTCTTTAGGTAATCAGAGTACAAGACAAGGGGGTATGATGTCTGTGGCAGAGACCTCTGTCATTTTCTTCATTCATCTTGATGAGTAACTATTATTCAAAATTCACTGCAGTTTAAATTTCTGAAGCCAAGGAAAGTCAGAAGGAACCAATATCTGGTTACCTTTGGTTATCTTGCCTTCCCAAAGGGAAAAACTCTAGCTCTTCAATTTCAGTAAATATAGAAAGAAAAATAGACTTCTCCTCTTGAGACATTTATTTAACCAAAAATATTTGGAAGATGGTGTTACCTTGCTGCTTTGAGAGGAAATGCTTGGAATAAATTTTATTGTCGTATCTGGCATGATATAATAAAATTGAACAGCAGCTAGAAAGCTAAGGAACTCTAGTTGAAGGGGGTACAGAAAATTTTTCTACGATTTTATAACTTTTTAAAGCCTGAAATTATTTCAGAATTAAATTTTTTTTAATGCCAAAGAAAGAGATAAAAGAAGATAGAGGAAGAAGGAAGCAGGATTTCACCAGGGTAGGAAGAGCAAAAGAAAGTAATGGAAGAGGAAATGTTAGGTAAAGGTACAGGGAGACACAAACCCATATGGTATATCTGAGTAACTACAAGTAGTCCAAAAGGCTGGAATATGAGATATCTGAGTCAGAGGGGACAGGAAAGAGACTAGACAAATGTGGAACAAAGGAGGCCATATCATAAAGGAACTTGTACACCATATCAAGGTTTTTTGCTTGCATGTTATAGGGTTTCCAGCCCCACTGAAGGGTTTGGAACATGAAAGTGACTTGATTACATTTGCATTTTACAAAGGTCATAGGTGTCAATATGAAGAATGGACTAGAGAAAGGTGAAGCCAAAGATGAGAAAACCAATAAAAAGGCAATTTAAACAGTCCAATAAAAGACTATATAGAAAGAGAAAATCATAAACCCACCCAAACTTTGATTTGAACTTGATTAAAATTGCAGTTGAAGCCACAAAGCACGTAACAGAATGACATTTTATGAGAACTCTCAACAGGAGGTAAAGTTGTTGGGATGAGAGTCTTTGAGACTGCAAAGCATGAGGCTGGATATCTATGCTCCATTATAAGAATATGGACGAAGCTAAGAAATATTTGCAAGCTCATTTCCAAAACAGAATGATGAACAAAGAATTAGTCAGGCATATTGACAAGTTAAACCTATAGTACTTCATATATTATTGTTATAAACTTGAGACACTTCCCAGTTAGCTGAAAGAGGGACAAAGATTTCCTGTAATATTTTGCTTTCTAACCAGAAAGATACTGTTTTATCCTATGAAATGTAATTCTTAATTTTAAGGTTACTGCAAGCTTCTTTACATTTATGATCATATGTTTTTGATCACTATTTTTTGTTATAGGAAGTTGTGTTTCCTAGATTGTATTTGTTATAGAAAACAAGTTTATTCACTAAAATTGAACATTCACTTATTTCTGTAACTTTTCCACTACATACATAATAGGCATGAATTCACTTGCTGGTAGGAGAGTATTGACTGTTTCTGTTGGTTTTCTCCCTGTAGACCTATTTAAGAAAAATACCAATGCATAATTCCAAGACATGCATTCTAAAACATGTACTGTTTGTTTCTCCCACAGTGACAAGAGCCCTAACCTAGAACACAGATGATAATGGAGAGAAACAAATAGAACCAAGCAATGTTATAGAGGCAGATAAACGGATCTTACTCATTTAATGAGCTATGAAGATGGAAAAGAGTAAAGCAGAACTATTTGTAGAGCAGAAAGATAGGCGCAGTGGCTCACGCCTGTAATCCCAGCACTTTGGGAGGCCGAAGCAGGTGGATCACTAGGTCAAGAGATCCAGACCATCCTGGTCAACATGGTGAAACCCCATCTCTACTAAAAATACAAAAAATTAGCTGGGCATGGTGGCGCGTGCCTGTAATCCCAGCTACTCAGGAGGCTGAGGCAGGAGAATTGCCTGAACCCAGGAGGCGGAGGTTGCGGTGAGCCGAGATGGTGCCATTGCACTCCAGCCTGGGTAACAAGAGCGAAACTCCATCTCAAAAAAAAAAAAAAAAAGAAAATATGGGTCTGAGGTCAAGTGGGAGACTGGGGTTAGTGATAAAGATTTAAATATTATCAATGTGTTAGTGATGGTGGTGGCTATGACATCAGTGCCCCCTGAAATAAGGATTCTATAAATCTGTATAGTGTGTAGCAATTTTCAAAGCACACTTGCCATATAATAATATCTCATCTGAGCTAAGTAAGTCCAAAGTAGTTATTTCCATTTTATAGATGAAAACACTAAGAACTAGACAAGATAAAACTTGCCCAAATTCACAAGCCTACGCTAGTTTGGACTCTTAGGTTTCAGTACTGGTGTTCTTTTTTTTTTGTTTTCCATGTTGACTCAAAAATGTAACCATTGTATACAAAGTCCACAGGAAGGGCCATGAGGCTTATAATACTATCCCTTCCAAATTGAGTAAATCTAATCACTTATAAACAAATACCAGATTCTCCAGTGCACTAAAATTATAACAACTTAAACACACGCAAACGTGCACACATTTCATTCTAAAAGATCTTTATGTAGTTATTACCTTCTTCTCACAGTTGGCGTCTGTCTCCTTCTGGTACATTTAGAAGTCTTCCACCTTCTGTCACAGGAAAAGAGGAACCCCCACCCCACCACCACCACTAACCAAGTATGATACTGCCTTTTACTTACTCTCCAGTGGAAAGAAAGATTAATTTTCCCTATGCCATCTACCTTAGATCATAAACAAGTAGAAAGGACAGAATGAGTAGACTGTCAGATCCCACCTATCAACGCTGTGGACTATTTGTGGAGGGCTGATGGTGAACTTAGGCAGGCACCACATCACAGAAAAGCAATGTCATCACTGTGCCATTGGGTTTTATGATCCAGGCGACTCCAACAACAATATTCTCTAGCCTAAAACATATCTCTTATGAAAAACTGGTTTCAACTTATAAGTAAGAGGGTATTTATTTTCCAAAGGGAAAGAGTTTTGAATAGTTGAGGTGAAAATGGTACTGAATGAGACAGACTGGATTGCAGAGGAAATTTTTTTTAAAAAATAGTGGCCTATTTTAAGTCAAAAAGCTAGAACACATTAGCCAGGCACGGTGACTCATGCCTGTAATCCCAAGCACTTTGGGAGGCCGAGGCAAGTGGATCACTTGAGATCAGGAGTTCAAGACCTGGCCAACATGGTGAAACCACATCTCTACTAAAAATACAAAAGTTAGCTGGGTGTGGTGGCACATGCCTGCAATTCCAAATACTCAGGAGGCTGAGGCATGAGAATTGCTTGAACCCAGGTGGAAGTTCCAGTGAGCCGTGATCATGCCACAGCACTCCAGCCTGGGTGACAGAGGGAGACTCAGTCTAAAAAAAAAAAAAAGAAGTATTAAATGAACGAGAGAAGGAAACAAAAGCAATGTTACTAACAAAAAGCTCTAGTGTTAGAGGTAGTGTGCATTGAACCATGTACAATTGCATCTACTTTACAAAGTGGAAAATGAACATTTTTCAACTAGAATCACAATGGTGGCTACAGAAATGCAGCAAAATTATCCAAAAATCCAATGATATAAAGCAATCTCAGCAACTGAAATAAAGTTTCAGACACAACACTACTCTCACATCACACATAAATGTCAGACAAGTATATTTTATACCAAATATGCCATTAAATTTAATGTAAATTTTACCTGCACAAGGACTCTGGCATTTGGACACATGAAATAAATATTTGAATTTCGAATCCTAAAAAATCGCCAAAAAGTCTCTTGTATTTGAAAAAAAAGCAGGATTTGGGGAACAGTTTTTTTCTTTGGTGGAAGTTGAAATTGCTATTGGTTTATTAAGATGTTCTCAGCTGGGCTTCATTTTTTATGTCCCTTTATTGTAGAGACTGACAAAATAGCTCACATAGATGGATCTATAAAACATCTGGGAATGAATGAGGAAAATAAAATCAAAGGTAGGTGATGACAATAAAATAACATACTGTGGAGAAAAAAGTAGGACATTGTGAATGAAAGTCAGAAAAAGGACTTAAAGTAAGAAAGAAATATAAAGAACTGGATAATCTTATTATTGTGGTCTGATGAATGTTATCCTTGATTAGATATATACTAGGTATTAAGGATGAAATATCATCTTTTACAAGATACAGAAAGAAACACAAGCATATTCCAATAGTGCCATTAGGAATAGTCCTTTAAAAACATATTCACTATATATGCATTTTTCAAATAAGCAGTCAAAGAGACAACTAATACACTTATTTTATGGATATATACTTAAATTCACTCTAGATGGCTAAATAAAGAGACTGCTTTCAGAAAAGTGGGGTGGGTGCACAAGGGCTTAAACAATGGATAGTGAGGCACAGAAAGAATAATAGAAGTGGAAAGCTGTCACCAACCCTTAGCCAAAGTCAAGGGAAGAAAATACAGCCACTTCACAGGCACTGTAATCATGGAAAGCCTTAGATTTGGTGCCAAAGCGGTAAGAAATCAATCACCAGATCATTTTCTTCTCCAGCTCTGCAAGCATATGGTAATGCCTCTGGTAAGCCAAAACCAACTGGAAGGAAGTTCCTGATGAGGAAACCTGCAAAACTCAGTCTGAAGGAGTCAGCCTCTTAGAACGCAGAGCAAAACAAGGCAGAGAAGGGTTGTCTAATGGGAGATGAACAGAGAAAAGCTAGCATGTTTATTAAAATGGCTAATCTAACATACAGTTAATTTTGGATATTAAACTCTCATTTAGCATGAGAGCAATGAGTATTTGAGGAATAAATAAAATTAGATTCTTATCTTACACCACATACAAAATCAACTCAAAATCAATTACAGGCTTAAATATAAGATCTGACACTGTAAAACTGTGAGAAGAAAACAGGGCAGAAAAGCTTCAAGACATGAGTTGCGGCAATTATTTTTAGACATGACCCAAAAGCACAGGAAACCAAAGCAAAAATAGACAAAATGGCATCAAACTAAAAATCTTTGGCACTGCAAAGAAAACAACACAGTGAAGAGACAATCCACAAAATGGGAGAATATATTTGCAACCCACACTTCTGATAAGGGGTCAATATCCAAAATATATAAAGAAGTCAATCAACTCAATAGCAAGAAAATAACCAAATTAAAACATTGGCAAAGGATCTGAACAGAAATACTTCAAAAGAAGATATAAAAATGGACAATAAGCACATTAAAAAAAAAGCTCAGCATCGCTAATTATTAGGAAACTGCAAATTAAAAGTACAATGAGATATCACCTCAGACTTGTTAGAATGGCTTTGATTAAAAAGAAATATTGTAGTGTTGAAGATGATATGGAGAAAAGGGAACTCTTGTATGTTGTTGGTGGGAATGTAAATTAGTACAGCCATTTGGAAACAGTATGGAGGCTCCTCAAATAATTAAAATTAGAACTATCCTATGATCCAGTAATTCCATTTTAGAATATATAGCCAAAGAAACTGACATGAATATGGGGAAGGAGTGTCTGCACTCCCATGTTCATTGCAGCATCCTTCACAGTAGCCAAGATATGAAAACAACCTAAGTGTCCATCAACAGATGAAATGATAAAGAAAGAGTGGTGTATATACGCAATGGAATAATACTCAGCCTTAAAAAAAGAAGACTTATGCTAAGTAAAATAAGGCAGCCACAGAAAGACAAATACTGCATGATCTCACTTATATGTGGAATCTAACAAAGTTGAATTCTTAGAAGTAGAAAGTAGAATGATGGTTTCCAGAGGCCAGGGAAGTGAGGGAGAGGGAATGTAAAGTTGTTGATCAAAAAGTACAAAGTTTTGGATAAACAGGGCTATAGATTTTGAGATGCATTGCACAACAGGATGACTGAAGTCAATAACAACATATTACATATTTCAAAATAACTGAGAGGATAAATGTCAAATGTCTAACCAAACAAATGATAGGTAAGCAAGGTAATGGATATGTCTTTCTTGCTTTAGCCAATAAATAGAATGTGACAGAAGTGATGTCATGGGAATATCAGAGTCTGGGTTTCTGGAGATGCAGCTTCTGCTTTTGTGCTATTGGAATGCTGCCCTGACCAGCCAACTAAAGAAGCTGGTCTAGCCTACTGGAGGTTGTGAGGTAATTTAGGGGAACCAGTGTCTTAGTGGGTGGTCAGCACCAACAGCCAAGCATGGGAATGAGCC